GCACGTGTCGAGCGGAGAATTCTAGAGACTGATCACACACCGCTTTCATCAGGAATATCGTGAGGCTGTTTTCCAATTGTAGATCTTTTTTTTTTTTGTTAGTACCATTGTAGATCTTATGGGTTTCACTGACTTGGGTGGCTTGTCCTCATAGAGAATGCACGTCAACACCTCTGTGCAAAAGAAAAGACCGATCACTGCAATGCAACTGTATTGTTTTGGACCCAACCCAACGCTCCTATCTTATTTATGAAGTCTGAGCTCTCTTCATCAGGCAGGCTCCACTTAAACCAATTGACATTGAAATTAATTAATAAAAGCCGACTAGGTTCACAAGTTTGGTAATGCTTCTGAGTACCCATTTTAGGAATATCAGGGGTTGGGTCCTGTAAGGAACCTTTTAGGGAGAGCATTCCATAAACAGCGACCCGACTCGGAGTGGTAGCCTACTTACTACCATTTTTTTTCATCAAAAAAATTATTAAGCTTTAGAATTTAAGTATTGCATATGTTTTTTTACTACCGTGCGGATGTCCAAATGTTATTACCTCCACAAGTATTGGGAAGACTATTGATGAGAGATCGTACATATATGAAAGAGTAGTGAAAAGGGAGGAGATTTTTTACCTCCACTTGACAAGCACACACGTTCAAAGGCTGGAAAGCGTAGAACACTTTCAAAGTTTCTAGGGTTGACGTAAGATTTGTTAGAGCCTTTTGTATTTATACTTACCACTTTGAATTCTAACAAAATCGTGCAACTCATTAATTCCTTCAAAATAAATGACTTTTTGAATACACTTAAACTTTGTTTGACTTCTAAAAAGTCATAATTGAATACATCTAGATTTTGATGTATTTTTTTAAAGTCAATTGAAATCTGAATTGAATACACCCAAACTTTTACAAACTCTTTTAAAATTTTAATTGAATACACCTGGATTTTTAAACTCTTTTAAAATCTTAATTGAATACAACCTCAACCCCCCTCCTCCTAAACCAATTAATAACAAGTGGCTAATTTTGGGTTTTTCTCTCCAAATAGGCTCTATATGAGTTTTTCTATAATATGTCATGCTAAAATGAGTTTTTAAATAAATATAGGTATTTTTTTCTACTACCCCTCCTTGCTATCCTCTATGTTTACAATGAAGTCTGCACAATAATAATGTTTGAACGTTCGTATAGGAGAATAACTGTATATGACTCCATAGAGGGGGGGAGGAGGAAGAATCGTCACTGCCCCTCCTCTCCCTCATCTCTTCTCGTTTTTTTCCTTTTAGGTTAGTGAATAAATTCACTGGGACGTTTTGAATAAAAAGCCCCTTGTGGTGATTTCTTCTGAGTCATGGTTAGGTTGAAGTTCCTCATCACTCCTTTTAATCTATGTTCTCAATCAAATCATGCTCTCAAATCCTACTTTCTAACGTCACTCATGTTCTCTAAATTTGATTCTACATCGTCGTTGACGGAGGTTGCTACAAATCACCCAATTGTTCTTCGGCGATGTTGTTATTTTCGTTTATTTGTTCGCTCTTATGCGCAGGTAAATCACTAGAAATCATATTTTCCCTAGATATGTTACGAATGCGGTGGTGGTTGTGTTCACAACAGCACTTCTTCAAGTGGTAGTGGTAGAGTTCATCCAGGCTCATGAGGTTTTTTAAGGTTTTGGTTATGTTGAGTTTGTGGGCTTTGTTTGGGCTTATGATTAATTGTGGTGATGTGGGCTAGTAGTTTTAGTGCGACTTTTGTCAGCGTTAGTTTTGCTTTTGACATGCTAGTTTGTTACCCTCTTAGAATTAGTATTTTAGATGTATTGTTGATGTCTTTGATTGTACCGTTGAAGTTTATCTAATAAAATGTCTATTTGATTTATTATTATAAATAAATAAAGGTAATATAAACCAATTGTTTCTCTACCTGGTAAACCTCAAACTTCCTGCAAATATTGATATTGTTTTTATGTTGAATGTTGAATGCACGACCCACAACATAGAATTAACGTTTCTTGCTATAAAAATTCTAAACAAACTATGAACCAAAACTGTATGCATCTTTTATTTATTTAATGGTATACATGCAGTTGTATGTTAAACAACAAAAGAAAATTTTGTAACCACGTCATCATCTTCAGAATGCCATATAGACCGAGTCACCTCAGTGGTGAGGTCCCTCCCCCTTCTCCCCTTGGTCTTGTGTTCAAATTTCAGGGTAAGTGCCCCCCTCTCCAATGCAATGTATCTTTCGCTAATTCTAAAAAAAAAAAGAATGCCATATATTGTACGGTTACACACGGACGAGCTAAAACCTACCAACAACGGTGTTTGTACGCCAGTGTGTGTTTCTCTCCCCATTTTAGAACTTGTGCCTACCTGGCCACCCTCAATTGCTTATGGAAAACAAAGAAGTTGAAATTAAGCAAATCAAAAGAGAAAAACCAGACAAGAATCCAACGGAGGCCCTCTAAAATAGATGGAATTTCGTTTAGCCAACAATAAACCCCACTATATAAACTCTTGACCCAAATTGAAGATTTTGCTCTCCCTAAAACATGGCTGGGTCTGCATCCACAACATTCATTACCTTGGCAATCATTTTTTCCATCGCAGTAACTTTCACAAATGTTGTCGATGGATTGACTGCGGAAAAAGTAATTGACTCTCCCCTGTTGACCCAAAAGATTAACACCAACCGCACCATCAAGGTCGATGTCAATGGCAAGGGAGATTTCAAATCAGTTCAGGCTGCCATTGATTCTGTTCCTGAAGGAAATAATAAGTGGATCATCATTCATGTTAGGAAAGGGGTGTACAGGTAATTCACCATCAATTAGAGCCTCTTTTGGAATTAATTAATGAGTTTTTTTTATAGGTATTACATCATCTAATGCATTACATGTTTTGGCCGGCAGAGAAAAGGTGATCGTACCACGTAGTAAGCCCTATATATTCATGAGAGGAAATGGGAAGGGAAGGTCCGCCATTGTCTGGTCCCAAAGCTCTTCGGACAATGTCGAATCTGCTACTTTCAGCGTCGAAGCTCCCCACTTCATTGCCTTTGGGATTAGCTTCAAGGTTCATCATCATTTCCTTCTTCTACATATATGATAATCTAAACGAAACTCTCAAGCAAGAAAAACTTAATCATTCTCTTATCGGAGTGTGAAACAAGCGAGGATTAAATTTCTGACTGTATATAATTGAATGATGAATTAATGTGCAGAATGAGGCTCCCACAGGCGTGGCTTACACCTCGCAGAACCAGTCAGTGGCAGCATTTGTGGCAGCAGACAAAGTAGCATTTTACCATTGTGCATTTTACAGTACCCATAACACCCTCTTCGATTATAGGGGCAGGCATTATTATGATAACTGCTACATCCAAGGCTCAATCGACTTCATCTTTGGACGTGGTAAATCTATCTTCCACGTAAGTATTAGTACTCCAATATTTTATATTTTATATATTTTTTTTATTTTTGGGGGTTTTCATATTGTTAATTTCACAAGAGTAAATTAATATCAATGTATACAATTAATGCAGGCCTGTGAGATCTTTGTGATTGGAGACAAAAGGGTGTCAATTAAGGGGTCTGTGACAGCTCAAAATAGGGAGAGCGAGAAGGAGAACAGTGGGTTTGTGTTCAACAAGGGCAAGCTGTATGGTGTTGGGGACACTGTGTATCTTGGCAGGGCCAAGGGTGCCTTTTCCAGAGTAGTTTATGCACACATGTACCTCTCCAAGACCGTCGTGCCTCAAGGCTGGACCAATTGGAGCTATTCTGGCGGCATAGAGTAAGAACCAACTAACTAACATGTCCTTGTTTTTTTTAATACGAGCGATCGTTTAAACTATGAGGGGTAGAGGAATTTCTCACACACACTAACAAGGTGTTATTGGGGTTCGAACTTGAGATCACTTATGTTTCTCAAACACACGCTAACATGTAGTTTTTTGTTTCCTTGTATTGGTTGTTATTATGCCAAAGTTTTGGTCGACTAACACAGAATGTTGTGGGATGATTATGAAAATGTACAGAAACTTATACCATGCGGAATATAAATGCAAAGGGCCGGGAGCCGAGGCTGGAGGGCGAGCTGAATGGGCCAAACAACTCACTGAAAAAGAAGCTGCCCCCTTCTTGTCTATCGACTTCATCAATGGCCAGGAATGGCTCCCAGTGTGGCTATGAATTAATTGATGTCTGTTTGTTCATGAACCTCGATCATTAGATCATTAACCAGGAGTTTACGACATTGATCGAACATGCAATGCAAGAGGCTCATATATGTTTGATTAATCCCTATAATATCTTTCCATACAAATGTAAAACTCTGTATTATAATCAAAACTTACATTATTCAGATACATGGTTCTATCCAATCCACTATCCCATCAATTGCTAGCTACAATCTAATTCATGTTAATTCTTTCAAGCTTATTACTCAATTCAGATTCTAGCTTGTACTCCAAGTAATGTCAGCAGTAGCTTGTTCCAACTTTGGGTGTTGGTTTTCTATTTGAGTGTTAATAAATATTTTTGTTCTTGCCTTCTTACGTTTAGTGATGGTAGTCGTTTAGGCCAAAGCTTGGGATCACAAAATGCTTGCATGGAAGATGTAAATAAAAGCTAATGGTGAAGCACGTTACAGCTCTTCATTTATTGTACATAGTTTAAGGGCAATACATTTTCATGCAGGATAGCATATAACACACGACTTTTGCATGCCAACTAGGGCTATAGCTGAATTTGGGATTTAAAATCCACCGCCAATTCCTCCACCACCACCAGCACCGCCGCCAGCTCCTCCTCCTACACCTCCGCCTTTGCCACCCCCAAAGCCTCCACCAGCACCACCACCGGCACCACCTCCGCCGCCAACTCCTCCTCCAACACCACCACCTTTCCCACCCCCAAAGCCTCCACCAGCACCTCCACCTGCACCACCACCACCACCAACACCACCTCCACCGCCTTTGCCACCTCCAAAGCCTCCTCCCGCACCGCCACCAGCACCACCGCCTGCTCCTCCACCAACACCACCTCCACTTCCACCACCAACTCCGCCTCCTACACCGCCGCCTTTGCCATGGCCTCCTCCGGCACCTCCACCTACACCACCGCCTGCTCCTCCACCAACACCACCTCCACTTCCACCACCAACTCCGCCTCCTACACCACCCCCGGATGCACCTCCTACACCGCCGCCTTTGCCACCTCCTACACCGCCGCCTTTGCCACCACCAAAGCCCCCACCAGCACCACCACCACCACCAACTCCACCTCCGGCACCACCCCCGGCACCACCTCCTACACCGCCACCTTTGCCACCTCCTACACCGCCGCCTTTGCCACCACCAAAGCCCCCACCAGCACCACCACCAACTCCACCTCCGGCACCACCACCGGCACCACCTCCTACACCACCACCTTTGCCACCTCCAATTCCACCACCTGCACCGCCTCCGCCTCCAACACCCCCACCGAATCCCCCGCCAGCACCTCCGCCAGCACCACCACCCAAACCGCCGTCAGTGAATGTTTCTTTCTCAAGTTTGCGACACTCAGCTATTGCTAGCACCACTACAAACATCACAGCAAACAACCCAACAAGCTTGGAAAACTTCCCCATCTTTCCCCAATAAAGTGTGTATAGAATAGAGGAAGCGGGACTGGTAATTGTTTGGTTTGATTAACTTTGGTAACGGGCATCGACTATTTATAGTGTGCTATAGCAAGTATTGATACTGTAGAAGTAAAGGTCAGAAGATGTCAATACATAAATGCGTACAGTTGAGAGACGCTTACGATTGTGGACTTTTTACGAAACCTGATTAATGAAATGGTGCGAAATTCAACCCTGTTTGACAAAGAATCATAATTAGCCGGCGCAACCATAATCTTGTAGCCCCTGACACCGTCTCAGTTGTGTCCCAGCTGTGCCTGTGCTCAACCACTAAGCATAGGCGTACGAAATAGTCCAACTCTACTTATTAGTGTTTCGAGAATTATAGTAAAATATGTTCGTATCCAAGAATTTGGAGTTATAACCCAAGTGATGAAGGTAAAATAACTAAATGAGGCTTAATTTTTAAGCCTCATCTTAAAAACAAAATCAAAAAACAACATTGCAAAAATGGGTGAACAAATTTGACGATCTTTCCTAGCAAAAGAACGTGATTATCTCAATATGTGTGTTAACTTTTAATATTATAAGTTGAGTTTGAGTGTGCTTTTCAAAGGGCTAGAAGCGCTTTTTGATAATCAAAAGCGTTTCTGACTGTGTTTGGTAGAAAAATGTAGAAGTACTTATGGGTCATAGAAGCGCTTATACGTGTTTTTGAGGAAGCACTTGACACACACACACACACACATATATATATATATATATATATATTTCCAACCAGAACTTGTTTGCCTCCTCTGGACAGTAAACTTGACTTCTAACCAGACAGCTTATTTTGAATTCAGAGTAGAAAAACTCCTTAGAATTTTCTTTATCTTTCAAGGAGATAATATTACGAATACCTAAATATTTACCAATAGATAATTTATGCGGAATATTTAAAATACTAGCAATTCTATCCTTTTTATGTCTAAGAATTGAATTAGAAAAATAATTAATAGTAGATTTATGAAAGTCTACTTTTTTTTACTAGAAGTTTGATTGAACTAATCCGAAACAAGCCCTCAGTTGTATTATCACTAATTAATGCCTTAAAGTAAGTCCATGTGATTTTGCTAGCACAAAGAAAGAAATCCATGCGACTAGTTCAATCAAATTAATTATATGGGCCACCGACAACAATTTTGTAAGGTACAAAATTTCATGAAAACGTGAGATTTGGCACGTAAACATCATCTAAAGCATTGAAGGTAGTGATAATACAATTGAGGGCTTGTTTCGAATTGTTTCTTTAGGATTAAGTATTTCTGCTAATAAGCACTTCTAACAAAAGCGCTTTTATTATAAATACATTGAAATTATCATATATAAGGTAAGTCCATGTGGTTTTGCTAGCACAAAGAAAGAAATCCATGTGATTAGTTCAATCAAATTAATTATATGGACCACCGACAACAATTTTGTAATGGTACAAAATTTCATGAAAGGGTGAGATTTTGCACGTAAACATCATCTAAAGCATTGAAGGAGATGATCTTAAATGATTAGTTCTAGTGTCAATTTAAATCCAAATTGAAAGCCGGAAGAAATTTAGGCCTACACTTCAAAACTCCATATAATATAACGGTTTCGAGCCTCTGTTTGGCTCATGTAATTTGTGTTTGGTTAGGCCTAGGAAGGGAGGATACTGAAATTAGGTTGTGAACTTCTTTAGGTTCAGCCAAAAAATTAAGAGCTATTCATTCACTCTTATCTATAGCCACAAGTGGCTTCATCTAGAATATTCTTCGCATATTTTCATCATCTAGTTTGTAGGTTCTTGAGTTTTCTAGAATTGTGTAGTTACAACACAAATATGCATTACTTTTTCAACAAATTTAAATGAAATAAATCTTGATGATTCTGTTGCTGATTACATCGTTCATAATCATTGGAATAAAGCTGAGCTGATGCAAGTCTTATCACACACCCATTAATTCACCTCTTCAAGATACTGAGGATAGTTTTGTCTGGGTCCTTCCCCAAATGGCAGGTTCAGCTACAAATTTTTTTTACGACATCAATTTTTAAACACATTGAGCCTTCGTGTTACAAGGCACTTCAAGATATTCAGGCCATGTTATCCTCGAACTGAAGTATAAATGTTAAGAATTCTAAAAAGAAAAGGAAGCATCATAGGGTAATGTATGGTTGGGAAATGGTATAAAGGGGCTGGTGGTTTTCTCATTAGAGATAGTCCTGCACGCGTTTTGTTAGCAGCTGCGATTCCGATTGGTTATTGTTCTGTGCTACAAGCTGAGGCTCTAACTCTTCGCCATGCAGTTTATTGGGCTCGACAGTGTAAGTTCAGGAAGATATTTATTGAAGGCGATTCTCAAACTCTTATTCATATCCTTTGCAAAAGGAGTCAATGTCCATGAAATGTTGCTACAATCATTAAAGATATCCCGTTAATTGCTGAAGATTTTCAAGAGATCTTATTTCGACATGTTTTCAGAGCTGCAGATGGATTTGCTAATATTGAGCAAACTAGGAGTATGTGGCTTTCTAGTTTTTGTTAGAATTTAGAGCAAGTGAAGGGGGGGACTAGGGCAGCTACTATTCACGCAAAAGGTTGTGATGTTTCCACCTATTGTCATGGCAACAACTATTCACATGAGATATGAGGAGAGAAATTTGTATAGAGTTTTTGTGTGGAAAGTGAAAAATATGACTGTATTTATTTATTTTTAAAATCTGAATTTGTTGGTATTTTTTTAAGATTTTAAAAAAAAATTTTAAAAAAATTTTTGTTGATAACATCGCTGACGCCAGCAAACTAGGGTTGGAACTAAGGCAAATCTTGCCTGAGGGCCAGCCTGGGTTCGTGGGCCCCATCTCCTGCCAGGGCAAGACTGGCTCGCTGGAATGTGGTTTTTGGCGCAGCGCCCCCCAGCCTCGGGCTCGGGCTACTATGTGGAAT